ACGGTACAGCAGGGAACCAAGCAGTTCTGAAAACTACAAAAGATCAAAACTGAATATGAATGAGGAATATTTAAAAATAAAGGGAAGCTTTAAATAAAGGGACAGAAAACCTCTCAGCCGTACAGGACTTCTATGGGATTGAGAAAAGCATATACCTGGCCTCCCATCTATTATTAGTATTAATTGTAGTATTGTTTTGCCTCCAACCATGGCAGTGACCATCACTCGGTGGATATGTCCAATTATTTGTTTATTTCTTTAGCACTTTTGGAGAGTTCAAAAAGGTTTTAATTAAGATCAGTGCACTAAGCCTATTGGAAAACGATTATACCAAGTTTTGTTTTAAAAAATAATGCCAATCTGGGAATTGGCTGCTGATTTTCAGCAAGGTGATCCTCTAGTGCCCCACACAACCCAGCACTAGAGAAATAACAGCCTTTGCGTAACATTTAAGAAAAATAGTTAACATATATATAAACATATATCCAGTCTTCCTCTGAACACAAAAATATCCCAAAACACTTTGCAAATTCTAGACAAATTTTGAATTTTTACACAACACACAATTGCTTCTCTTCCTTCCACCCCACAGATGTTATTCAAATGACTTAGTTTCCCTCTAGACATCTGTGCATTTTGTTCTGGAATTTGCTCTAAATTCTATCATAGTTCAAAGACCACAGTATGATTTTTCATTGTTTAAATATTCCACTGAAAAGGTTTTTCATACTTGTTCCTGGTCTGGCGTCAGAAACGTCCACCAGCGGCCCAGTGGCTTGTGAGACGGATTGATAATGTACTGTATGAGTAACTGTCAATGATTTCTGCTTTGATGTCTCTCCAAAATCTGCATCAGTTAACAATACTGTAGATCTATCATCTGTGGGAAAGAAAATAATATGAATGCTTATGATGTCTCATTTTGACTATTTTTTTAAAAGAACAAAAGAAAATTATTTGTTTTTCAGTATCTTACTGTATAAAGTAACCTATGGCCTATTATTCAACGATCTAATGAATGTTGTCTGCCTTTTTTTTTTTGGCCTGGAACTAGTTGACACCAACCACAAAAAAATTGTGACGACATTTTTATTTGGTTCCTAGTAAGTTTAAAAATCAAAGAACCATTCCTTTTTTAATATCTGAACCAATCCACATACTAATACTTAGGGTAATCAGAATAAAAGGTAATTACATTATCCATTATCTCATGAGTTCAAATAATGCTATATAATCTAAGTGAGCTACAGAAAAGAAAACACACACAATGCAAAGTTATACATGTTGTCTCTACTTTTTCAAAGTAAAAACTATTTGACATTCACTCCATTCAGATTGTGCCTGGCTGTGAGATTCAAAAGTTACTTGATCTTGCTTGAGTAGATCTCTCCTGATTTCATTTGTATCATCCATTAATAAACTAATAATTTGCCATTTTCCATTTTTAATTTCCAGACTATAAGCCATGGCAAACTGCATTCCCCCCCCCCCCCCCC